TCTGTTTGCCAGGATTTTCACAGAGTTAGCCTGTCCTGCGTCCTTTTCTAGTTGCCCTCCAGGACCAAGATGCTGCTCAGAAGTACAATACACCACTGTGAATAGTTCTCTTTGAACTATGGTGCAGGACTTCTGCATTATGACTTGCTGCTTGGAATCTCTTGTAACATATCCAGTTTGTCAGTTGGGACCTCCTGGAATATTGTATAAAAATGATGATCTCTCTGACCATAGAAAATATTATTTACAATGTGATTTTAATCTAGGACTAAATCTGTTTGAGTTTTCCATGCCCTTTTGACACTGGATATTTGGCTGTGGTCATTCAAACTAGCCTCAGCTGGAGTACTTTTTCTTAGCCTGCAATCAGAATTCTAGTGTGGTATACTCTGAACGGTGTTGGCTCATTTTTTCTCTCCCTGAGGTTTTTTAGTTGTGTCAGTCTTGGCATATCACTTACTTCAGGCCCTTCCTGATAGAACTAGAATAATGGAAAGTACAGGATTTCAAATTAGAAAGCCTGAGTTCAAATCCTAGTTTGCTATTTTCTTTGTATCACCTTTGAGAAGTCACTACACTTTGTTAAATCTCAGTTTCTGCATCTTATAAAATACAGATATCTCCCTTGCAGAGTAGATTGATGATTAAATGAGAATGCATGTGAAAAAGCTTTGAGACTGTAAAGCACTATGCAAATGTTAATTTTATTGTCATTTTCCGTTTTTTTCTCACTAAAGAAGTTGCAGATAATCATCGTGACTCAGAGTAAAATCTTGAATTGACCCTGACAGGTCTTTGAGCTGCTTTGGCTTTCAAATGACTGGTTGAGCTGGTGGAGGCCACAGGGAGAGACTTGGCAGGATGTTTGATAGATTTTTTTTTTCCATGTTATAATGGAAGATCCCTTTCTCAAGGATAGGGAAAATGCTTACTTTTTATTATTCTGTACCTAGAATGCTGTCTACCAAATCAGAGTTAATTGGTACTGATTAACATGGCTATCTCAATAGAGTGACCCCTTCAGGATGAATCTCATTTAAATTAAATTGACTGAAATCATGCTGCAAATCATAGTTTATTTCAGTAGTTAGGAAGATAATTTAATCACATTCTTTCAAAATGTACAGTCTTGCTGGATATAACCTTAATACAGCATGTTGTCTTCAGATCTCAGGAATAGGTTGTATTTATAGAAGCTCTTTTCTGAGCTTCTCTTAGAAGCAAGTCTCTCATTCATGGTGTAAGTCAACCATTTAGCTGTGTGGTGTCTACTACTTACTCAGCTTTGCTGACTGTGTTTTATCCCAAAGCACTGCGTGCTGTCATTGCCTCAGCTGGTGTCAATCAAGTTGCACACCTGAGTGACTTCGAAAATAATGTTTTAAAGGACCAGGATTATATTGACAGAGAACGAATTATATAAAACATTAAGAAAACATTCACAAATCAAAATTAATGTCTTCACAGTCTCATGTGTTATGTAACCACAAGTTATGACTAGTATTCTACTGAAGTATTTTTGAATTTTTTTTAAAAAAGGAACTCAAATTAAGAATTTATATTGGGTTTTTGTTTTCTTGTCAAAAACATTTCAAGAATCTATTTTTAGGTACGCCTGGGTAGCTCAGTTGGTTATGCGGCTGCCTTCGGCTCAGGTCGTGATCCTAGGGTCCTTGGGATCGAGCCCTGCATCGGGCAAATAAATAAACAGTAACAATAAACAAAATCTTTTAAAAAATAATCTGTTTTTATATAATATTTGGATTTTTTTTTCTTAAGATTTTATTTATTTGTCAGAGAGAGAGCACAAGCAGGGGGAGCGGCAGACAGAGGGAGAGGGAGAAGCAGGCTCCCTGCTGAGCAGGGAGCCCGACACGGGGCTCGATCCCAGAACCCTGGGGTCATGACCTGAGCCGAAGCAGCCGCTCAACTGACTGAGCCACCCAGGTGTCCCAATAATATTTGGATTCTTTTTTTTTTTAAGATTTTATTTATTTATTTGAGACAGAGAGAATGAGAGACAGAGAGCATGAGAGGGAGGAGGGTCAGAGGGAGAAGCAGACTCCCTGCCGAGCAGGGAGCCCGATGCGGGACTCGATCCTGGGACTCCAGGATCATGACCTGAGCCGAAGGCAGTCGCTTAACCAACTGAGCCACCCAGGCGCCCCATAATATTTGGATTCTTAAAAACGATTTTTAAACTTTCCTAATTCTTTTTTTATTGAGGTATAATTGACATACACCATTATATTAGTTTCAGGTGTATATCATAATGATTTGGTCATTGTACTTATTGTGAAATGATCACCACAAGTCTAGTTAATATCTATCACCATGCATAGTTATAAATGTTTTTTCTTGTGATGAGAACTTTTAAGATTTACTCTTTTAGCAACTTTCAAATATGCAATACAATATTATTAACTACTGTTACCATGCTGTACATTACATCCCCAGGACTTGATTTACTTTATAACTAGAAGTTTGTACCTTTGACTCCAGTCACCCATTTCGCACCCGCCCCTGCCAGCAACCACCAGTTTGTTCTCTGTATCTATGAGCTTGTTTTTTTTTTTAAGATTTTTTTAAGATTTTATTTATTATTTGAGAGAGAGAGTGCACAAGCAGAGGGAAGAGGCAGAGGGAGAAGCAGGCTCCCCTCTGAGCAGGGGTCCCATTGGGACTCGATCCCAGCACGCTGGGATCACGACCTGAACTGAAGGCAGATGCTTAACCGACTGAGCCACCCAGGCGCCCATGAGCTTGTTTTTTTTTTTTTTTTTTTTTTTTTTTTAAGATTCCACATATATGAGAGATTATATAATACTTGTCTTTCTCTGTCTGACTTATTTCACTTAGCAGGATGTCCTTAAGGTCCATCTATGTTATTACAAATGGCAAGATTTCATTCACCTTTATGGTTGAATGATATTCCATTGTGTGTATATATATAATTTCTTCATTCATTTATCTGTTGATGTACACTTAGGTTGTTGCTGTATTTTGCCTATTGTAAATAATCTTCGATGAATGTGGGGGAGCATATATTTTTTCAAGTTAGTGCTTTCATTTTCTTCAAATAAATACCCAGAAGTGGAATTGCTGGATTATATGGTAGGTCTATTTTTAATTTTTTGAGGAAATTCCATACTGTTTTCCATAGTGGCTACACCAATTTACGTTCCCACAAATAGTGCACAGGGGTTCCTTTTTCTTCACACCCTCGCCAACACTTGTTATTTCTTGTCTTTTTTTTTTTTTTTTTTTTAAGTAGGCTCCATGCCCAATATGGGGCTGGAACTCACAACCCTGAGATCAAGAGTCCCATGCTCTACTGACTGAACCAGCCAGGTGCCCCCGTTTCTTGTCTTTTTGATAGTAGCCATTCTAACAGGTGTGAGGTGCTAACTCATTATGGTTTTGATTTTCATTTCCTTGATGATTAGTGATGTTGAGCATCTTTTCAGGCCCTTGTTGGCTTTCTTTATGTCTTCTTCGGAAAAACGTCTATTCAGATCCTCTGCCCATTTTTATTTTATTTTATTTTTAGATTTTATTTATTTATTTGACAGAGAGAGACACAGCGAGAGAGGGAACACAAGCAGGGGGAGTGGGAGAGGGAGAAGCAGGCTTCCCGCAGAGCAGGGAGCCCGATGTGGGACTCGATCCCAGGACCCTAGGATCATGACCTGAGCTGAAGGCAGTCACTTAACCAACTGAGCCACCCAGGCGCCCCCTCTGCCCATTTTTAAATTTGATTGTTTTTTTTTTTTGAATTGTAGAAGTTATTTATATATTTTGGATATTAATTCCTTAACAGATACATGATTTGCAGGTATTTCCTCCCATTCTGAACTTTCTTAATTCTGTTATCAGTATTTCGAGGAAGGGCTGTAATATATACGCTTCTCAGCCTGATACTTGTCTAATCTTATAAGAATCAAGATATTTAATATTAGCCTTTCCATGATCTATTTTATGGGAGTAGGGAAGCTAGAGGTTTTTCTTTTTGTATATATTTCATCACCTGAGATGTATGAAATATATATGGTATATTTTCCCTAATACCTCTGCTCATGCAGTGGGTACTAAAGATTCCATGAGCTGTAAAAATATATATTTGAGCATAATTTGCTTAGTGAAGTCTATATTATTTTATTAAGTAATCTCTATGCCCCACATGGGGTTTGAACTCACAACCCTGAGATCAAGAGTTGCATGCTCCAACTGAGCCAGCCGGGTGCCCCTTGCTTTATGACATCTTAATGTGAATCTATTTTCTGATGCTTAACTGACGGTTTTTCATTTAGCAGATTATTATAGCGTGTTAAAAATTCTTTCAGAAGGTGCTCTGCAGTGTATAGTATTGTTATGAATATTAACATTCTTGCTAATTGATGCTCAAAAATGTAAGAAATTAGAGACATGTAGAGGTTATGGAGATCTCTGTTACAAGAGTTTGGAAAAATCTCAATTCGATAATATGAAAGGCATTAATTGTGATTTTACATCATGCTTCAGTTTTAAGGAATTCTGTGGTCTTGTAAGATTCAGTTACATGGAGTCTGGAGCTCAGATTGTTTAGAAAATGGTGACATCATTTGTACAGATTCAGTAACTGGTTAATGTTGTTGCTAATTGGGTATGTCATTTTTTTCTCTCAAAGTGAGGTCAGGACTTCAGAGCCAGCATTGTAAGTTATGTCTGTCTAATGCTTTAAAGTATTAATAAGTATTTCAGTTTTACAGGGCACATATATGTCTCCTTTCAGAATTTCTACATATTCTAGTTTTGAAGACATTGTTAATTTCTATTTTGTACTCTACCCTTAGCTACACGAAACTTTATCTCCAGTTTGGTTTTACTCTAAGGATAATTCAGGTTTCTTCATGCTATTATTCATTTTACCAAAGATCTAGGAACAGATTTCGAAATTATTTGCTACTTTTAGCCAATGGTGGTATGGTTCACAGCAGTTTTATCATCCATTGTTATTTCAGAAATTGTTGAAAACCTGATTTTAAGAGATAATTCACCCAGCATACCTGAGGCAATTGACAGACTCTTCGCCGACATAGCAAATATCAACAGGGAGTCTATGGTTGAAATACAGGATGCTCAGGTTGGTATAAAAACAATTTTGTTTATTATAAATTTTTTTTTTAAGGATTTTATTTATTTATTTCAGAGAGAGAGTGAGAGAGAGAAAGAGCACAAGAGGGGGGAGCGGGAGAGGGAGAAGCAGACTCCCTGCCGAGCAGGGAGCCCGATGGGGGACTCGATCCCAGGACTCCAGGATCATGACCTGAGCTGAAGGCAGTCGCTTAACCAACTGAGCCACCCAGGCGCCCCAATTATAAATTTTTTTTGAAATATTTTATTTTTAAAGATTTTATTTATTTGAGAGAGAGAGTGAGTGAGAGAGAGAGAGAGAGAGGGAAGGAGCAGTGGGGGGGTGAGGCAGAGGGAGAGGTAGAAGCAGACTCCCCACCGACCCACTGTGCAGGGAGCGTGATGTGGGGCTTGATCTTGGGACTCCAGGATCATGACCTGAGCCGAAGACAGATGCTTAAGCAACTGAGCCACCTAGGTGCCCCCAAAAGATTTTATTTTTAAGGAATCTCTACACCCAACATGGGGCTCAAACTCACAACTCGGAGACTAAGAGTTGTATGCTCCACTGACTGAGCCAGCCAGGTGCCCCTGATAAATTTTGATGATTCACCATTTTAATTAAAGTCCCGTATAAGTAAAAAATAAAATAGTCTTTATGATTAACCATTATAAATACATAGAAATCTGTTTTTGGATTTTCAAACCTAATGGCTTAATAACAGCTAAAACAAAGAATAAATGATACAATGCAGCATAATTAATTGCTCAATTATGTGAAACTTAATGAATACAGAAATTCAAAGAGGAGAGAGATCCACGTAGACTGTAGTAGTTGCTGAAAGCTTTGTGCATGTTCCTGGTGAGACTGAACTGGATTTGAGTTACATAAAGACAATGGGAGGAGGTATATTAGGTAAAGCCAGTAGTATGAATAAAAGTGCATAGATAGGAATGAACAGGTTGTGTTCGTGGGACAGTCAAATAATTACTCTAACAGTGGGTACATTTTGGGGGAGGCAAGGTAGAATGGTACTAGATTACGGAGGGCCTATAAATGACCAACAATAATCACGTATGCATAAAACATGCAAGAAAAATAATATCATTGGAGGTGGGCAGTATTTTAACTGGCTAAGAAAATGTTTCTCTTGCTTAGCTTGAAGAAATGGCAGTAAACCTGTGGAACTGGGCCGTTACCAAGGGAGTAGGTTTGGTTATAAGTGAAGAGCAGAAAGCTAAATGTACGTATACATTTTGTGACTTGTGGTATGAGTAGTATTTTTATTATACATTAGGTTGTGTTCTTGCAGTTTAAATAATATTTTGACTAGTTTACAGATGGATATTTGTTAAAATAAAACTAAACAAAATGATCCATACATAGAAGTTTCTCAAGCAAACATCCTGAATTTTATGGTTTTTTTTTTCAGAGATTAGCTCCTGATTAATAAAAGCATCACTGCAAGAAATAGTCTGGTGGTGAACAATAAAGATGATAAAAGGGTGGGAAAGTGAGAACTTGAGGAAATGTTAAAGGACATGGATTATTTTCCCTGGAGAAGAGATGATCAGAATCTTCAGGGTTCTGAAGGACTATCAAATAGTAATTTCCTTTCTCCATTAATAATAGAATGAGAAATGTTGCCATATGAGGGATTTAGATTTAAAAATCGGTAAAGAATAATTTCCTCATGAGGTGGGTTGATGAGCTTTAGACTGAGTTACTGAGAAAAATTATAGAAGTTTTTTCCTACCTGTGAGAGCAACCAAAAAGAGTAACAACAAAACAGAACCCCCAAACCGCACTCATCTGCTCGGATGCATTATATGTGGTCCACTGTCTGGCAGAGTTCTGGTGCTTTAGCTAAGTGGTTGGGTCTAGTGTGCTGACAGTTAACCAATTTTCAACAAAGATAGTGACAGTTAATGCATTTATGGAAAGTATATTGCCCCATTATAAAGGGTACATCGAGCCAAAACGTGAATCTCTAGACTGCTTGGCTTTGTAAGGACAAGTGAATTTTGTCTGTATGCAGCAAGTAGACTTCATTGCTAAGTGTTTATCTTTATGAATATAAACCAAACTGTGTACAGTATCAGTGTAGGTCTAGGGTGATTAATGGTTAATATAGTCAATAATATACTTATTTATTAGTCCATTCCTCTATTAGGATGTTTAGAGAATGGTTCTACCTCTTTAGCTCTCAGATAAATGTTGATATTGCTCCTCGGAGCCTTTGACCCTGTAGTTATGGGACGAGTTAGAGATTTATCTGTTGAAGAAACTTAGTACACAGTCGAACTGTGTGATATTAAAATCTAAACTCCTACTGTTCTATCAAGGAACATTGTTCTCGCTGTTTTTCACTATTTGTCAAATAGTAGAGATTTGGTAGCTGGACCTCTCCCAATGTACTGACTCTGTGCATGTAGCAGTTCTTAATTAGACATTTGGGGGCTTGTTCTGTGTATAGTAATTTTAAGAAACAGTGGAAAACAGGATGTGAGTGTAGAAAGCCTCTGATATAAGAGTTTTATTCCAAAAATATGTTGATTGGAAGATATTTTGTCTCCTTAAAAACAAATTCAGTGTGCCCGGATTATGGTATGTGATGAAAAAGTTATCAAGATTTATAACCTACAATTTTTTGTTATTGGGAAGAATTATGGAACACTGAACAGAAACAGGAAAGTCAGAAGTAGAGGAATAACTTGTAAATTTTAGTTTTAGACCTGTTGCATTTGAGGTGACAATAAGTTTGGAGATGTGAGACTAGAACTTATGAGAAAGGTCAGGTTGCCTAGAGATTTGGTAATTACTCACATGGAGGTGATGAAGCCACACGAGTAGTTGAGTTCTCTGAGGGAGAAAATAAAGAGCAGTTATTCTTAAATATTGGTATAAATAAGAATCACCTGTGGAGTCTGTTAAAATGCAGATGCTCAGGCCCCACCATTGGAGACTTTGATTTATAGGTTTAGGATAAAACCTGGATATGTATATAATTTGAAAACTGTTCCCATGTACACCAAATTTTAAGAACCAATGGTGTTGAGAGAACAGAGTGGTGAGATTTTTACCTTGACTCTGGCAGTTAAGGACTGGGAAGAAAAATAACGAGGATAGGAGACCAAAAGTGACAGATTATTCTAGAGGAGACTCACTATCCATTTATTGAGTGCCTACTCCTTATAGGATTGTCATACCATATGGCAGGCAGTAAGTGAAAGGGGCAAGGTAAGACTCCAGAAGAAAAATACCAGGCATACATTATGCTTGAGGATCTGGGAAGGAGTGGATTAACAATAAAAATAAAGAATTCACAGATGCCAGAGGATGCAACACTGTGTTGTCTGAAGTCAATTGAAATACCAAGCTTCGGGCACTGATGGAACAGAGTAAGGCAGATGTAAGGAGTCAGGCAGCAAGCACCTAACCAGTATGTTTATAACACAGAGGGGCCAAGAACAGGCTGGTGAGAAGGCAAAGATAAAGCAGCAGCCGCAGAGAAGACATCTTTATACTGAAGTAGCGTTCTGTCTTGGCCTCAGCTGCCTTTGCCAGAAGGCGTATTGGTGGTGACTATAAACAGCCAGATCAAGAACATGGGGATGGGAGCAAAGTTCTTAGACGAAGGCATTTCCCATAGAGGGAGACTGCTCAGTGCTGAACCGAGACAGTGTGAAGTGAAGGAAGTAGCATTTTTTAGAAAAGATTTTATTTATTTATTTATTTGGGACAGAGAGCAAGAGAGAGTGCGCACACTAGCCAGCAGGGGGAGGGGCAGAGGGAGAGAAGAGAATCCCAAGCAGACTCTATGCTTAGCGCGCAGCCCACGGCGGGGCTCAGTCCCACGGCCCTGAGATCATGGCCTGAGCTGAAACCAAGGGTCGGAAGCTTAATGAGCTGAGCCCCCTAGGCGCCCCGGAGGTAGTATTTTTGAAAAAGGTTATGGTCATTGTGAAATGTTGCTCTGAAGTCAGGGAAGGTGATCTTTGGTAGTACAATTTTAGAAACGTGGTAAGGATGCAAAACAGATGGCAGGGGCTTAATTAAGGAGATGAGTGAGTAGCAAGAAAGTAGAGGTAGTAGACAGACCATTCAACCTAAGAAGTTTGTCTTTGAGAGAAAGAGAAGTGAAACAGAAGCTTGAAGCACAGTGGGGTTAATTGATGTTTTTCAAGGAAGAGAGACAGGTATGTTTGAAGGTAGAAGGGAAGGAGTAAATTGAGAGGGAGGTACTGAAGATATCTTTGGAGAGGGAAAATGACTGAGAGATCAGGTTCCTTGAGAACACCAAAGAATTCGTAAACTTTGGAAAAAATAAAGGAAATATCTTCAAAATTGGAAAAGCGAGACAAAGCAGATATATGATTAGCAGTTATTTTATTGGGAGGTTTTTTTCAGCAATAACTTTATTAGAGGATGACTAGAATTTATATTTCATGATGGGTAATGAGAATCTGACTTCAATTACCCCATAATTTCATCTGGGCAAATCTCTTTTTCAATGGAATATTAATTGAAAATGGTATTAGTATAGGTTGATTGGCTGCTGAGATCTAACATCAAAGCAACTAGTTCAGTTATTTATGAAGTCATCTTTAAAAATTGGACAAGTTTTATGATGAGAGAAACTATGTAAATAAAGAGCTTACAGTTATTCAAACTTTCCTATTTTCGGGGGAAGTGAACTATATAATGAAGATAATCTATATTTTCTAAGTTACACTTCAAGAACTTCTACATCATCAACAGAAAAGAATATATTTAGAAAGATTCACAGTTTAGGGGAATAATCTAAAACTATTCTGGTGTTCAGAAATTTTGTCAGATGTTGAATAGCTTTTTTTTAAGATTTTATTTGTCAGAGAGGGAGAGAGAGAGAGAGCACAAGCAGGGGGAGCAGCAGGCAGAGGGAGAAGCAGGCTCCCCGCTGAGCAGGGAGCCTGATGCGGAACTCGATCCCAAGACCCTGGGATCACGACCTAAGCCGAAGGCAGACGCCCAACCAACTGAGCCACCCAGGCATCCCTGTTGAATAGCTTTTGATTCCAGTTTTACTTAGAATTATTTTTGCTGTCAGCATAATACACACAAAAGCATCACATGGAACTAGGTATCTTCAGTGAGTCTTCAGAATTTAAGACCTGCAGAACTTAAAATTTGAAAACTAAATATCTGTCTGATTAGAGATTAGAGTATTAAGCAAATAATTCATTTGATAATTTTCAGCTCATTTACTTTTGATAATTGATTTTTTAAAAAGGACATTACAGTTATCATTTTAACAAGACTGGTTTCACTTTGCTCCTCTTTTCTCTTCATAAGTATATATAAAAGGAGAATGAATGTTTTGTGTTTATGGGTGTCTGATTACTGTTTTGCAGTACGGCATGTTGCTTGCAAGTTGGTGTGTATGTGTGGAGGCTCAGCTGCTTCCGAAGAAGCTATTCGAAGACAGATTTTGGTAAGTCCTAATTAAATAAGGAGAAAGTGCAGATGGAATGAAATAGCCATTACTCCTATGAAGATGGTTAAAGTTGGTGTGACCCGGGAAGGGGGTTAGATCCTTTAGTGCTATCCATGTTCCTTTTATGATAATTGTACCTATTACAATGAAAGGTCTCAGTACTGTCATTACAGTGATTCAGTGGACTAAGTATTGAACTTAAATTCAGGATTTATGGTAAGTAATAAAAAGTAATAGTTCTCTGCTTCATCATTCCCTACCCCTGTCTTGCTCCCTAGAAGCAAGTGTTATTTTTTTAGTGGAAAATGTTTTTCCCAGTGTTCTAAAATAGTATTTTATTGAAAAGCTCAAATGTGCACACAAAATAGATAAGATGGTACAATGATTTCCCCATTTCCCCATCACTCAGCTAGAGTTATCACCAATTCCTGACCACTCATTTTTTCTATAGCTCCTCCAACAGCAAATCCCTGACCCCATGGGTTATTTTGAAACAAATATAAAACACATCATTTTGTTCAGAAATATTTCAATATGTGTCTCTAAAACACAAGGTATCTTTTTTTAAAGATTTTATTTATTTGAGAGAGAGAGAACATGAGCGGGGCAGAGGGCAGAGAGAGGGAGAGCGAGAAGCAGACTTCCCGCTGAGCAGGGAGCCTGATTCCAGGCTTGATCCCAGGACCCCAAGATCATGACCTGAGCCAAAGGCAGACGCTTAACCAGACACTTAACCTACTGAGCCATCCAGGTGCCCCGACAAGGTGTTTTTTTTAATTCAAACAAACCCAATGCCCATGATCATACCTGATAAAATTTAACAAAGATTTCCTAAAATCATCAAATATCCAGTCTTCCCCTCCTGCCTGCATGTTCCCACACTTCAGACTCTCACACTCTCACTCTTTTACTTGCTCTTGCTCACTTGTGTGCTCTTTCTTTGCTCCTCCCTCCCTCCATTTGGTTTCTTAGAACCAGGATTAAAGAAAGTCCACACCTTCTATTTTGTTAATATGTCTCTTTTCATCTGCATGTTTCCCCCTCCTTTTTAAAAAATCTGTTGAATAAATGTATTTGTTGAAGAAACAAGGTTGTTTGTCCTATAGAGTTTGCTAAATTCTGGATTCTGATGACTGCATCGTCATAGTATCATTTAATATAGCCTTCTGTCCCCCGTTTTTCCTGTAAACTGGTAGGTAGATTTAGAAACATGATCTGATTCAGGCTCAGTTTTGTCAAGAATAATTCACAGGCAGTATGGTATATTTCCGTCAGGAGGTACTAATATCTATTTGTTGTATTAGTGCCCTTTGATGATTATTGTCCCTGGGCCCATTATTTCTATAGGGGTTTGCACATTCTATTTCTATATTCCTTCTTTGTTTATTAACTGGGATAGAGAGAAACTTTCCCTCATCAACTATTTGGTTACCTTGAAGTATACCTTTATAAGAAAGGACAGTCTTGACTTGTTCCTTTTTTTTTTTTTAGCAGTTTTCAGAATGAGTTGGTTCTTTAACATCCTTAAATGATGATCAGGTAGATTTTTTTAAAAGTATCATTGTGAACTCATGGATTTTAACATTTGTAATGCATTTCAAGCCATTTTAGTTATTATTCTTATTGAAGCACCTCTCTTTGGCCAGAAGGAGCCTCTTGATGTGATTCTGAAGCCTTTTAACACTACTCCAGTAATCCTTAATTAAAACTGAAATAATAGTCAAAATTTGATTTCTGATATGGGAAGATATCCAGTCTCATTTTGTATAGTTCCTGCCCTAGTCATTCCTTGAAAGAGCCATGTTTCCTTTTAGTGGAGAATGTTATTTAGAAACCACAATCTGGAAATTACGAGTGCTCATTGCTACTGCATTGGTCTTTGTTTCTAGACCTTTTTACTAGACAGAGCTGTGAAATACATATATTTTTGAAAGACAAAATATGTAATGAGTTCACAGTGATGTTTAAAAAAAGTATTTATTTATTTATTTGAGAGAATGAGAGAGTGCCTGCGTGAACTGGGGGCAGGGCACCGGGGGAGGGAGAGGGACAAGCAGATTCCATGCTGAGTGTGGAGTCCAACATGGGGCTGGATTCCATGACCCTGAGATCATGACCTGAGCCAAAACCAAGAGTCAGATGCTCAATTGACTGAGCCACGAAGATGCCCCTCCATAGTGATATTTCTAATTGGTATTTAGGGTTATAGGATTTTATTTTATTTTTTTATTTTTTCTATTTTATTTATTTATTTATTTACTTTTAAAGATTTTATTTATTTATTTGAGAGAGAGAATGAGATAGAGAGCATGAGAGGGGGGAGGGTCAGAGGGAGAAGCAGACTCCCTGCTGAGCAGGGAGCCCGATGCGGGACTCGATCCAGGGACTCCAGGATCATGACCTGAGCCGAAGGCAGTCGCTTAACCAACTGAGCCACCTAGGCGCCCCATGGATTTTACTTAGCTTCTTGACAATCTTGGTGGCCCTGGCAATCTTGGTGCCTAACAACATTAATATAATGAATGGTTTTATCCAAAAAATGTATATTTATAATTGTTTCATAATACATCAATATCAATATTGATTTCTAAAAATAGTTCAAGAAATTTTTATACTTTTATTCTTTTTTTTTTTTTAAAGATTTTCTTTATTTGATAGAGACACAGCAAGAGAGGGAACACAAGCAGGGGGAGTGGGAGAGGGAGAAGCAGGCTTCCCGCTGAGCAGGGAGCCTGATGTAGGGCTCGATCCCAGGATCCTGAGAACATGACCTGAGCCGAAGGCAGACGCTTAACGACTGAGCCACCTAGGCACCCCTACACTTCTTTTATTCTTAGTATATGTCTCACTAGGGATGTGTAGTCAAAGTATTTTTTAAATATTATTAAAAAATATTTTTAAAGATTTTATTTATGTATTTGAGAGCGAACATGAGAGAGAGAGAGGATGAGCAGGCAGTTGGGGGGAGAAGCAGACTCAGGGCTCGATCCGAGGACCCTTGAGTTCATGACCTGAGCCAAAGGCAGACGCTTAATGACTGAGCCACCCAGGCACCCCTTAAAATATTGTTTCAGAAGTACTCGAAATAATTCCTTTTTCTGTAATGAAGCTATTCACTTGATACATAGTTAGATTTATTATTTATTTCTTTCTTTATTAAAAGATTTTATCTATCTATTTGACAGAGAGAGACACAGCAAGAGAGGGAACACAAGCAGGGGGAGTGGGAGAGGGAGAACAGGCTTCCCATGGAGCAGGGAGCCCGATGTGGGGTCGATCCCAGGACCCTGGGATCATGACCCGAGCCAAAGGCAGACACCTAACCGACTGAGCCACCCAGGTGCCCCAGATAATTTATTTTTGTTTGCTTTTGATTTTTGACAGTTGCTTTTTTTCTGCCCTTAGGATTGAATTTTGTTTTATAATTATGTCAAATATTTACATGGTTCCAAAGTCAAGTCTACTGAAGGAAGTATATTCAGATAAGTCTACCTTCTATCCGTGTCCTCTCTACTCTGTTCCCTCACTTTCCCTGTGGATAGCTATTTTGTTTATTGTTTATCCTTTTTTTTATTTTTTATTTTTTTATTTTTATTTTTTTATTTTTTTTTCCAAAGATTTTATTTATTTGAGAGAGAGAGAATGAGAGAGAGAGCACATGAGAGGGGGGAGGGTCAGAGGGAGAAGCAGACTCCCTGCCGAGCAGGGAGCCTGATGCGGGACTCGATCCAGGGACTCCAGGATCATGACCTGAGCCGAAGGCAGTCGCTTAACCAACTGAGCCACCCAGGTGCCCTATCCTTTTTTTTAAATAAAACAGCAGGTATATATTCATGTCTTTCCCCACCCCAAAGGTTCTTATATAAATGGTAGCATTCCATATATATTTTTTTTCCACCTTTTTTTACCTCATTTAGTGTTATATCCTAGAGATCACTCCATAGCAGTATATAGAGATATTCCTCATTTTTTATAGCTACACAGTATTCAGTTGGTACATATACCTTATTATATTCAACCAGCTTCCTTCCATGGACATTTGGGTGCTGCAATGAATTGCCTTGTATATATGTTTTTTTCTTATTTTTTTAAAGCTGCTACTAGTAATTATTTCTGTTTTCACATCTCATGGTTACCTCCATATATTTTATTTATTTTATTTTTTTATTTTTTAAAGATTTTATTTATTTATCTGACAGAGAGAGACACAGTGAGAGAGGGAACACAAGCAGAGGGAGCTGGAGAGGGAGAAGCAGGCTCCCCGCTGAGCGGGGAGCCCGATGTGGGGCTCGATCCCAGGACCCCGAGATCATGACCTGAGCCGAAGGCAGACGCTTAATGACTGAGCCACCCAGGCGTCCCGACCTCCATATATTTTAATCATACATTCGTATCACTGTCTTAGTTTGTTAGGGCTGCCATAACAAAATAACACAGACGAGGTGGCTTAAACAGTAGAAATTCATTTTCTCAAAATTATGAAGGCTGGATGTGTAAGATAAAGGTGTTTGCAGGTTTGGTTTCTTCTGAAGCCTCTCTCCTTGACAGAGAAGGCAGATGGCTGCCTTCTCACTGTGTTTTCATATGGCCTTTTCTCTGTATGCATGCATCTCTGGTGTCCCTTTGTGTATCCAGATTTCCCCTTATTAGGACACCCATCAGATTAGATTAGGGCCCACCACAGTAGTCTCATTTTAACTTCATCACCTTGTTAAAGGCCCTATCTCCAAATACAGTCCCATTATGAGGTACTGGGAGTTAGGGCTTCAACATACGAATTTTAGGGACACATAGTTCAGCCTATAATCATCATCATCATCATCATAATAATAATAATAAAATCCTGATTTATCAGTTTTACATATGATCTATTTTTTTGTGCTATGATAGATGAAGATTTATCTTCCTATTATTTTTTACCTCCCCGTATTCCTCCTTTCAGTTTTTGTTAACTATATTATACTATTTTTAATTTATCTGATGGCAACCTTTTTCAACCTTAAATGTAATATATTAAAATTTTTCTACATCAAAAACTGATGATGTACTGTATGTTGGCTAACAGAACATAATTAAAAAAAATAAAAATCCAAAAAAATTTTTTCTTTCTCCCATCAATTTTGGAGATTATATTTTTACTTTCCACCTTGTGAGGATATTTGTACTTTTGCATTCTCTCTACCTTTCCCTCATTTTTAACCTTCCAACTTCTGTTAACTTCTAATATTGCATTTTTGGCTTTGTTGATTTTGAAGATAGAAAACTAAAAGGAGCATTTTACTGATTGTGACTGCTATACGATTCTGTGGATAATGCTATTTCTCTTTGTTTCCATCTGTTAGTTCTCTTCATTCTATTTCCTTAGATATTCTTCTGTTGAGTGTGATGTCCTTTAATGAGGTCGGTTTCCCTCAGTTGTTTGGGGATTCTTGCTCAGATTTGATTTGAGATTCCTTGATAGTCTGTGAATACTGTGTCACGCTGTTTACCATAACCTGAATCAAGTGACTGATCAAGAGGTAGAGCTGGATGTTTTGTATTGGCCTGTGTTGTCAGCCATCTGGAACTCTATTTTTCTCTAGCCTAAGTGATTGTACTCAGTGTTCCTTCCTGGGGAGGAGGGAAGATACCTCTTGGTGGGGAGGCCAGCTGCTTGATACTACTATTCACATCCAGCATGTTTTCCACATTTTGCATTTTTGTGCATTTTGGTATGTGGGTTTTTGTTTCATCCCATTTGGTGTCTGTTTTTCAGAAGTTCCTCATAATTTCAGGTCAAATGAAAATGCCCCTTGTTTTTCAGGACTCTTATTGATAAGAAAAATATGTATATATTTTCTCTTATTTCTAGGGAATATATATATATAAATCCTTAGAGATTATATGTATCACATATATGTATATAACATGACATATATAATTTCTAGGGATTTATAGTACATAAAATTTATACTGAAGTTTATAGTATACTTATATCCTATATGTAAATTTATAGTAAAATATACAGTATATTTATTATATATATTTTATACATGCACACATACACACACACATACATATCATTTCTAGGGATTTGTAGAAGGGGTAGAGCTGTAGTATGTGCTCAGTCCTCCATCTTGATTCAGTTCTTGTTTGCTTCCATAGCATTTGTGCATATTACATAGCAACTATTTATTTAGATGTCTGTCAGTTATAACACTGTGAGCTTCTGTAGTGTTCCTGGCTTATAAAGGATACTTAACAAACATTTGTTGGGCTAATAAAAATTTTATTAGAGATGTATTTAAAAACTGGAACCAAGGTGTGGAGTTATAGTCTAATGTGTATCATATAACTTCCTTCAAGTATGTGAAGAATTAATTTTTCAGAACTTTCTATTCTATCTATCCCAATATTTTCTTTTAATAATTCTTAGAAAATGTGTTTTCAAGTCTATTAATTTTTTATTATTGCTTTTCTTGAGACCATTTCTATTAAATTATGGAGTTCAGAGCAGAACATAGAACTGTAATAAATGCTGTTATTTTTTTTCTGGGGATTACACTACTGAAAATGGACAGAGGATTAAATATTTTATTTAATATTCTCTTCAACCAGTTTGGAGGAGTTGTGAATTTTTAAAAATTATTCTCTAACTTCTCTCTTCTAGATGAATATGAAAACAGGAAAAGGGTGGGTGGATGTTGGAAATGCTGTGATTGCTGATCAGTTTTTTCAAGCTGCCATGACTGTAAGTTACCACTGATTTTTAGCTGTAGCCATTATTAGTAATAGTTGTGGTTATTCTCATCATGACATTGTATTATGATTTTATTTTCCAGGGTCTGGAGCAGTTATATATCAAATTAATGCAGAGAAGCTCCACCGAGGTCCACATGACTTTGCAGAAGATGGCTGTGGAGAGGGACCTTTTCAAAGTGCTTTCTTACCAAGCAGAAGCAGTAGGTATCATGGTCACCATAGCCTTACAGTGGGGCATTTTGTATATGTGAAAGCAAAGTGATGAGATATAACTTACTAGAAGAAAGTCAGGTGTCATTGGCCTTTTATGGAGGATATTATATTTGATTTTTTATCTCCATTTTATATCTGAAGTTAACGTTATTAATGGTGATTAGTATCTGTGTGGGGATGGATGAAGTTAGAAAGGCTGATATATAACTAAACATCATTTTTAATCACTGCATGTAATGTCTGTCATTTCTTTATGGCAGTAGCCTCGACTTGAAACACCTCTCTGTGACTTTCTCTTACATTAACAGTCTGCCTAAAATAATTGCCTGAAAAGAGTCTTCTCATTTGCAGTTGTTCTGGGTTGTTTACTGAGGTTTTCTAAAAGTCTGCTGCTATCAGTGTTTAAAGTTGTACTTTACCTCTGTTTGGCTTGTGGGTTTCCTCTTTTGTCATGGTGCAGTTAGGTGTTCATTTATAGTTGACAAAGTGTAAGCCATGATGAGTTTGCTCTGTGTAATTATGTAACATTTGAAATGAAAGAGACTTTAAAAATCATCTAGTATAATCCTCTTATTTTTATTTTCTAACATTTTTTATTGAGATATAATTCATATACTATAAAATACATTTAAAATGTACAGTTCATTGGGGCACCTGGGTGGCTCAGTTGTTAAGCGTCTGCCTTTGGCTCAGGTCATGATCCCAGGGTCCTGGAATCGAGCCCCACATCGGGCTCCTTGCTCCACGGGAAGCCTGCTTCTCGCTCTCCCACTCCCTCTGCTTGTGTTCCCTCTCTCGCTGTGTCTCTCTCTGTCAAATAAATAAAATCTTTTTTTTTTAAGATTTTATTTATTTATTTGAGAGAGAGAGAATGAGAGAGAGCACATGAGAAGGGGGGAGGGTCAGAGGGAGAAGCAGACTCCCTGCCGAGCAGGGAGCCCGATGCGGGACTCAATCCAGGGACTCCAGGATCATGACCTGAGCCGAAGGCAGTCGCTTAACCAACTGAGCCACTCAGGCGCCCCAAATAAATAAAATCTTTAAAAAAAATGTACAGTTCATGATATAGTATATTCACAGAATTATGCAATGTTCACCACAGTCAAGCCAACAGAAGGAAGGAAATAATAAAGATTAGAGAGGAAATATATGATATAGAAACTAAAAAAACAGTAGAACCAGTAATGAAGCCAGGAACTGGTTCTTTGAAAAGATTAATAAAATTGATAACCTCTATCCAGACTTATTTTTTTTTAAAGATCTTATTTATTTATTTGACAGAGAGAGAGATAGCGAGAGCAGGAACACAAGCAGGGGGAGTGGGAGAGGGAGAAGCAGGCTTCCCGCCGAGCAGGGAGCCCGATGCGGGGCTCGATCCCAGGACCCTGGGATCATGACCTGAGCCGAAGGCAGATGCTCAACAACTGAACCACCCAGGCGCCCTATCCAGACTTATTAAAAAGAAAAGAGAAAGGACCCAAATAAATGAAATCACAAATGAGACAGGAGAAATAACCCAACACCACAGAAATACAGATAATTTTAAGAGAATATTACGAAAAACTATATGCCAACAAGTAGGACAACCTAGAAGAAATGAATAAATTCCTAGAAACATATAAACCACCAAAGCTGAAACAGAAAGAAATAGAAAATTTAACAGACTGATAAACCAGTAAAGAAATTGAATCAGTAATCAAAAAACTCCCAACAAACAAAAGTCCAGGACCAGATGCTTTCATAGGCGAATTCTACCAAACATTTAGAGGAGTTCATAGGAGCGCCTGGCTGGCTCAGTTGGTGGAACATGCAACTCTTGATCTCAGGGTTGTATGTTTGAGCCGCCCGTTAGGTGTAGAGTTTACTAAAAAATAAAATCTTTAAAAAAAAGGGAAGAGTTAATACCTATTCTTCTCAAACTATTCCAAAAAACAGAAAAAGAAGGAAAACTTCCAAATTCATTCTGTGTGGCCATCATTACCCTGATACCAGAACCTGATACTAAAAAAGAGAACTGCAGGCCAATATCTCTGATGAACATGGTTGCAAAAATTCTCAAAAAATACTAGCAAACCAAATCCAACAATACGTTAGAAAAATTATTCACCACAGTCAAGGATTTTTCAGGATTGCTTTGGCTATTTGGGGTCTTTGGTGGGATTATCAAGTGGGATTTATTCCTGGGTTTCAAGGATGGTCAATATTAGCAAATCAGTAGACATGATATACCACCTTAAGGGTAAAAGAAAGCATAAGAATTATATGATCATTTTAATAGATGCAGAAAAAACATTTGACAAAGTACAACATTCATTCATGATAAAAACCCTCAACATCTCCCTCTCCCTCTGTTGCTCTCTCTCTCCCTCTGCTGCTCTCTCTCTGTCAAATAAATAAAATCTTAAAAAAAAACCCCTCAACAAAGTAGGGTTAGAGGGAACATACATCAACATCATAAAGGCCATATATGAAAATCACACAGCTAATGTCATCCTCAATGGGGAAAAACTGAGAGCTTTTCCTCTACAGTCAGGTACAAGACAGGGATGTCCACTCTCACCACTGCTATTTAAGTTCTAGCCTCAGCAATCAGACAACAAAAAGAAATAAAAGGCATCCACATTGGTAAATAAGAAGTCAAACTTCCACTATTTGCAGATGATATGATATTGTATATAGAAAACCTGAAAGATTCCAGTGAAAAACTGTTGGAGCTGATACACAAGTTCAGTAAAGTCGCAGGATACAAAATTAACATACAGAATCTGTTGCTCTTCTATACACCGATAATGAAGCAGCAGAAAGAGAAATGAAGGAATCAGTCCCACTTAGAATTACACACAAAAAAAGATACCTAGGAAACAACCTAATCGAAGAGGTGAAAGACCTGGACTCTGAAAACTATAAAACACTGAGGGAAGAAATTGAAGATGACACAAAGACACAGAAAGACATTCCATGCTCATGGATTGGAAGAGCAAATATTGTTAAAATGTCTATACTACCCAAAGCAATCTACACATTTCATGCATTCCCTATCAAAATACCACGAGCATTTTCCCCAGAGCTAGAACAAACAATCCTAAAATTTGTACAGAACCACCAAAGACCCTAAACAGCCAAAGCAATCCTGAAAAAGAGATGTAAAGCTGAAGGCATCACAATTCCGGACTTCAAGCTCTATTACAAAGCTGTCATCATCAAGACAATATGGTACTGGCACAAAAACAGACACATAGATCAATGGAACAGAATAAAAATCCCAGAAATGAACCCACAACTGTACAGTCCTTTAATCTTCCAACAAAACAGGAAAGAATATCGAATAGAAAAAAGACAGTCTCTTCAACAAATGATGTTGGGGATACTGGACAGCTACATGCTGAAATCTTGATATTTGCAATGACATAGATGGAGCTATAGAGTATTATGCAAGTGTAATAAGTCAGAGAAAGACAAATACTGTGATTTCACTCGTGGAATTTAAGAAACAAAACAAATGAGCAAAGGGAAAAAATAAGAGAGACAAACTAAGAAACAGACTGTTAACTCTAGAGAACAAACTGATGGGAGGTGGGCCAGGGAGATAGGTTAAATAGGTGATGAGGATTAAGAAGTGCACTTGTGATGAGCAACTGGGTGATGTATGGAAGTGTTGAATCACTATATTGTACACATGAAACTAATATTATACTGTACGTTAATGAATTTAAATACAAACTTTTTAAAATAATAAAGCATTTTCATCACCCTAAAAAGAAACCCCCTGTCCATTAGCAATCACTCTCCATTCCTCCTGACCCCAGCCCTAGGAACCACTAATCTTTCTGTCTCTATAAATTTTGTTGTGATGAGCACTGGGTGTTATAGACAACTAATGAATCGTTGAACACTACATCAAAAACTAATGATGTACTATATGTTGGCTAACTGAACATACTAAAAAAAATTTACCTATTCTGGATCTTACATATAAATGAAATCAATTAGTGTTCTTTTGTGATTAGCTTCTTTCACTTAGCACGTTTTTAAGGTTCAGCTATGTTGTAGCCTGTATACTTCATCTGTTTATTACCAAATAATGTTCTACTGTATGAATATACCACATTTTCTTTATCCTTCCATTTACTGATTAACATTTGGGTTGTTTCTAATTTTGAACTACTATGAATAATTCTGTTGTGAGCATTCATGTACAGATTTTTCTATGTACCTGTCTTTATTTCACCTGGATATATATCTAGGAATAGAATTGGTGAATAACATGGTAACTCTATGTTTAATCTTTTATGAAACTGGCAGAGGGAGAGAATCTCAAGCAGACTCCCTGCTGAGTGCAACCCTGACACTGGGCTCAATCTTACCACCCCAAGACCGTGACCTCAGCAGAAATCAAGAGTCAGACACTCAACAGACTGAGCCACCCAGGCACCTAGACAGATTTAATTTCTTTATACCTAAGAATTTTGTACTTTCAGCACTTACATTTAGGTCTGTGATTCATTTCAATTAATTTTTGGGTATAGATTGAGGTAGGGGTCCATGTTCATTCTTTTGCATGTGGCTATCCACTTGTTCCAGCACCATTTGTTGAAAAGATTATTCTTTCCCTATTGAATGGTCTTAGCTCCCTTTCTTTTTTTCTTTTAAAATTTTTATTTAAATTCTAGTTAGTTAACATATAGTACAGTTTTTGTTCAGTAAGTGATTCATCACTTGCATACAACACCCAGTGCTCATCATAACAAGCGCACTCCTTAATCCCCATCACCCATGTAGCCCATCCCCCATCCACCTCCCTCCAGCAACCTTCATTCAATTTGTTCTCTATTGTTAAGAGTCTTTTCTGGCCTGTTTCCCTCTCTCCTTTTTTTTTTTTTTTTCCTTTTCCTTCCCTTATGTTCATCTGTTTTATGTCTTAAATTCCACATGTGAATGAGATCATATGGTATTTGTCTCTCCCTGATTGACCTGATTTGCTTAGGAT